CTACTGGCTGACTTTAGGGTTCTAGTGGCAGAGTTTAGGGTTCTACTGGCCCCCAGAGACAGGGCCTACTGGACCGCGAGTGGTGTTTTCTACTGTATGGCTCTACAGCTGCCACATACAGAGTTCTTATGGCCCCCTCATGTGTAATTCTACAGGGAAAGAGCTACAGGACACACAGCTGAAGGATCTGTTAGGGATTAAAAGTGATGGCAACTTAAGGGATGCCAGAAATGCGGTGAGTCATCACAAAGGCCAACTGACACTACTGCAGTTAAGCATGCCACAAAAATCTGAAACCTGCCTGAAGTTACCTCAGCAGGAAAGCTGTTTGTGCCAGCTTAGGGGAACATCTGTGTCATTTTATGGATGCAGTTATGTTGAACTGGTTTCAGATGCTTGACTGCTACACATAAAACAAAGCCCCTGACCAGTGAGCGACAAGCTAATGCCACCGTAACCATGTCCTGTTCCTTTTCACTGTACAGCCAGTGCCAGACCACACTGAGGCCAGACCACATTATTATACCACGTTACAATAAACCACGCCAATACCACCCTACAAGACCAGACTCTGCTAAAATGTTGACCACGCTAACACCAGACCATGCTAACACCAGACCGTGCTAACACCAGACCGTGCTAACACCAGAACATGCTAGCACTAGACCATGCTAGCACTAGACTGTGCTAACACCAGACCGTGCTAACACCAGACCGTGCTAACACCAGAACATGCTAGCACTAGACCGTGCTAACACCAGACTGTGCCAGAACCAGCCCATGGTAACACAAACCCATACACACAACACGATTTGAAAGCAATGTTGTTTCCCAGTATTTAGTTGGCTGGTCTTGAAACATCTACCCCAATGTTTACTGTTAGGGAACCATACCTGCTAAGGAATAAAGGTAGGGCTGATGTCTGATTAACACCTGAGCTGGTAGAGGTTCTTCCTTTCAGGACTAAGAGCAACAGGGGGAGAGAGGGGAAAACACCTCAGTCATGCTTCTGATTCCGCTGACAGAGACGGACAAAAAGAGAAAGAGATCAGATAATGATGAAATAGTGCTTTTTCTCTGTGTTCAGTGCTAAGACATAGAGAGACAGGCCACTACTACCCTGAACACAGAGAAAGAGCACTAACAAAGAGAGCAACCAGACACTACTGCATTGCACACCGAAAGGCAGACCATTGCCCAAAAAAAAAAAGACTGGTCCCTCTTCACCCTGAAAACAAAGAAAAAACACAGACAGAGAAGGAAAAAGGGAGAGACATAAGTATCAGTCAGTGCTACACTGAACAAAGAGAGATAGACGATAGTCACCATTACCATGAAAAAACCACATAGGCAAAGCACTGAGACTGACCACCTTTACCCTGAACACCACTGCAAAATGCTGACAGAGAGAGACACTGGAAACTTACAACACCGGAAAGAGGTGAAGGAGAGGATACTCTTCATAAGGAAGGGAAACAGACCGTGTAAGCATCTTTTACATGGTGTGTGTGTGTGTGTCCTTGTGTGCATGTACACGTGTACTATGTCAGTGTGTGTGTGTGCTTGTGTGCATATACATGTGTACCATGTGAGTGTTTGTGTGTGTGTCTGACTGTCACAACCGCTTTGCAGAGAACTGAGACGTGGATGTAGACTCTGCTTGAACCCCGCACAATAATCTCATTACACAGCAGCACAGGTGAGTGCTTGCAGCTGAAGCGGTATGCCACAGGCTCCCTGGGTCCGGGGAGAGATGCCACACTGATGCTATCCGCACAATGCAGCTGAAGCAGTGGCTAAGCTCTCCTTAAACCACCAGCTCCCTCAGTGCTGGGACAGATGCAACACTGCTGCTGTCTGCATAATGGTATGTTGAACGGGGGCTGGTGGATACCTGGTGTGGCACAGAAACCAGACTCAATCCTCCAGGACGAGGTTGCTGAAGGAAAACTAAAAGAGAAAACTAAAGTTTTAACACACCCTGAAAACAGTACTAATATCCGCCCCCCTTTATGCAGGAGTTAACCCTCCGATTGGCTTGTTTTAGAATAAAGCGCTGTGTGTTGTTGTCATCCAATCGCGAGCCAGGAAATCCAGCTCTGTGGTTTGGCAGCAGTGCAGTCTGGGGCCGGACAGTGTGTGTGTTGAACTCACACCTGCGTGAGCAACCACAGCAGTTCCATGCTAAACACACACTCACACACGCTGCACGTCCCTGTCTATAAACACACACACACACACACACACTGCATAAGCACATCCACACACACACACACACACACACACACACACACACACACACACACACACACACACACACACACACACACACACTGCATAAGCACATCCACACATATACACACACACACACACACACTCCTGCCTATATCCACACGCCCAAACTTGCACTATTTTTTCTTAAAGCTAGACCTAGGGAAACAGCTCATGTATGCAGATGTTGGTAACTTCATGCCAAATAAATCTGAAGCTGCTGAAGGCGAGTGTTGCCACTGCTATTTGTTCTCAGGAGCATCTGATAGAGGACAGATTAACCCGCTAACAGCCCCTCTGTCAATATTAACTCCCCTGAGAGCACCAATACAGAAACACACAGCCAGCTGCACAAAGCCAGTGCCAGCTCTTATCTGCAGGCAGACCACGGCCTATTACACTTGCTTGATGACAAAACAGCTCAGGCACAGCCAATGGTGTTTATAAAGGCATCTAAACAAGGCCGCTGCCAATGCAGGCTCAGGGTCTGAGCAGGAAGTGTGGAAAAGGTCAAAATGTGAGCTTGTCAATCATACAAGCACAAGCTGCTGCCTGCTTCTATAACCTCAATATACCCCACTCACTGCAACACCCAACCATGACATACCCTAGTATGTCTCCGCTGGTAGTTCCCCGCTGGTGGAATGAGCTACCTTATGCCGTAAGAGCAGGGGCGTCCCCCTCTATCTTCAAGAACCTCTTGAAGACCCAGCTCTTCCGAGAGCACCTCCTCTCCTAACACTTCTAACAACTCTATCACAATTCCATCTCTGCGCACTTTTTGCCTCGCACTTTTTTTTCTCCTGTAACTATTTGTTTGTTTTCACCTTGTTTACCTTTGTTTTCTACTTTCCTTGACTTATTTAGTTGAGTTTAGTTGTTTAGGTTGCACTTAAAGCTTACTTTAAGGTCTCCTACACTACTGTAGCTTGCTTGCTGTTCCTCACTTGTAAGTCGCTTTGGATGAAAGCGTCTGCCAAATGACCTAAATGTAATGTAATGTAATGTAATGTATTGTCTCAATATACCCCTCACTACAACCAACACTACACTATACCCTACAGTGTCTCAGCGTACCCCGAATGGCATACCTCACAATGTTCCAATATACCCCTCACACTACTATACCCAACACCCCACTATACTCCATACTGTACCAATATACCCCACGTTATCACAACACATACCACACACCGCTGTACCCAACAATATCCCACCATACTCCCATATATACTGTTCCAAAAGGGCGCAAACAGAGTGCTATATTGCACAGTGTCACAACATACCCCACACACGGCTATACCAAACACCTTTCCAAAGCGCCCTGTACACTGCAAACACCCAATGCAGGACCAGTGCTTACCCCACACCCTGCTATTATAGGATCTGTCCCAAAATAACCAATACCCTGCTATACTGCTGCCGCTACAATACAGCGCCTGTAATTCAATCATACCTCTGTCCCCACTTCAGACACACACACTTACACACACACACACACACGCACACACATACACGCTGTTGGAATGAGAGCAGGGCCTGCTGTTGGTGGATAGCTCACGGCTGGTGGTTCTCAGGTTACATAGAAAATCAGAGAGAGAGAGACAGCCCACTACTGCCCTGAACACTGTCCCGAACACAGAGAAAAAAACACTAACAGAGAGAGAGAGAGACAGGCCACTACTGCCCTGAACACAGAGAGACAGAGCATTGACCGGGAGAGACAAGAGAGCGGTCCCTCTTTACACTAAAAACACAGAAAAACCGCTGACAGAGAAGGAGAAAGAGAGAGTGACAGGTTCTCAGGTTACGCGGAAAATCCATTATTCCTCCCTGTCTATGTGCCCCCACCCCCCTCCACAGCCATCGGCAGCTTCAGCTGTTTTTTTTTTTCTTTTTTGTGAGAGCGGGATCTGGGGGATCGGCCTTGCCAGCGACACAGGCAGGATTCTCAGACGCACAGTGTGTGTGTGCGCCCCTGTAGTTTATTCAGACCCCGCTGGTCTATCAAAACTGGCCCTGGGCCCGCCGTCTCACGCGCCGCTGCTGCTGAGACAACAGGGCCGGTTCTGATCCGCCGTTTCATCCCTGAGCGGCACTCTGTCGCAGCCTCCCGGACCGCAGGGTCCGCGGCCTAAATTATTACGGTATTTGGGATGCTTGAATGCTTGTAAATTCACACATAAATGCAGAAAATCCAGGCTTGCATTCTTTTTCCATAAAATAACACAACTCCTTGATATTAAAATTGACACCTGAATGTGTCCGAAAGCTGATCTCTTTGCAGTGAGTCGTTTTTTGGATGGAGAGCAATGGAGTTTTATATTTTGCTTCGGGCAGTAAAGCAGTGTTAATATTGCTGAAAATTAAATCTTGGGAGCTGTGGAATATTTCAGCATCAGAGGTTTTAAATGCTTATGCAAGTACACACATGCATGCAAAGAGACATGCGCACAAACTCTCTCATCTGGTAGACAAATAGGGGTTAGTGGTTTAGCTAAACCCTGGACACCTAGCAATTTCAACCTGATGACCACTCCTGTTTCCCACACCAACGGACACTTGGTGGGCCAAGCCAAACCCAGAACAGCGGTCCAGATTTAACATTTGCATTTTCGTCACTTAGCAGATGCTCTTACCCAGAGTGACTTACAGTTTTTACACATTATCCATCTATTTACTGAGGCAATTCTGGGTTAAGTACCTCACCCAGGGGTACAGCAGCAGTGTCCCAGTGGGGGAATTGAACCCGCAACCTTTCGGTTACGAGCGCCACTCCTTACCACTGTGCCACACCGCTGCAACAGATATATGTGGAACCTGACTCCGTTACCTGACATTTCATACTGATGGCAGTCAGGCCTCTGCCCCTCCCACCTCCCCCTCCCCCCACTGTCCGTCACTCCAGCTCTTCCTCAGCTCCGGCATCTGGGTGGGACGGGCGTTAGGTCCAGCTGGTGACCACCTGGCCGGCCTCCATCCTTTACTGCGCTCGGTAATGTGCCCAGCATGCGGCTCCCCTGTTTGCCCGCCCCTGCATGCGGCAGGAATGTTCCCAGACACAAAAGATAAGGGGAGAGCAGACAAAATAAGGGAGGCCCCGTCCCGGGCCCAGGAGGGGCAAGGGGGGCTGTCCTCCTGATAATGTGATCACCCCACCCCAAGAGAGAAACTTTTTCCACAACAACATGATCACCTCCCTTCCCCTCCCCCTCCTGAGAGACTTTCTCCACCACGTAGAAAGAGACCATCTGCAAACAAGAGTATTAGCAAGAGACAGTCGCTACAAAAGTGTGGTGATAACCTACAGGTGGAAGGACATCAGCATGATCATCCCCAGAGACTATCTCCACAGCAATGTGATCATCACCATAGAGACCATCTCCGCAGCAACGTGATCATCACCTCAGAGACCACCTTCAGGGCAAGGCAACCATCACCATAGAGACCATCTCCAGAGCAATGTGATTATCATGCCAGAGACCATCTTCCCAAGGATGTGATAATCACCCCAGAGACTGTCTCCACAGCAACGAGATCATCATCAGACACTGTCCCCACAGCTGCATGACCATCTCAGAGACCGTCCCCACACCGGTCACATGTAGCAAGGAACACAGATGGGAAACTTCACAAATTCCCAAAATGTGTTGATAGAGACTGACTGATTTGACTGCATAATATCGTTTTGCTGCGGAAAGCGAAACCTTTACACTGGGTCATACGAGTTGGTGACAGGCAGAGTGAGATTCAGGCTTCACCCATTACAGGAATCATGAACGCTCACCCTCGCAATCTCTAGCAAGGACCCTGATAGGAACAGAGGCTGAGACACAGATTCTGCTTCACAATGGAGCTCCGCCATTTCAGTTCATCTGCATCCCCCAGTCCTCATTTCACCATCCCACCATGGCAAGCCCAGCACGACGCAAAGACACATCCACCCAGTTTTTTACACTGAGAAAACAGTGCTGAGAGAGGCGTGACACGGGGCCCCTGGGCAGACCTACCCACCCCTACGCCCTGGCAAAACCAAACCCGTTTGTTCCGTTCCTGCGGAATCCCGGTTATTGCCTGCAGATGGCCGGTTTCAAGCCTGGGCCGCAGGGCTCCGTCTGTGCTTGGAACCAGCATGTTTACTGTCTGAGCCAATCAGGGGCAAAACGATTCATTCATCTGCATTTTGCTTAAGCTCGAGCCACTTCAGAGAAAACACTGGCCACCGCCACTTCTGCTAATTGCACATTTCTACAAGTGAGTGAATTAGGTTTCAGACTTTAACACCCAGCCAGTTGCTCACAGATGTCCGATGAACACATTTAGAGAACACAGCTAAACAGATCCACACACACTATTTGTCGACAGGAAATCTAGCGCAGGATTAAATAATAAAACCTGGCATAATTTTTTTTCTTTTCAACCCCAGAAATATCTTGCTGCCTAAATGTGTATAGATTTTCCAGCGACTGGCACCGGCTGAGCTCGTCCTTGTCTCCGCGACTTCCTGAAACATTCCTGGAAGCGGCTTCCGACTCCACCACAGAACGCCTCAGACAGAGAACTGCGAGGGAGCGAGCCACTGAACAGGAAAAAGTTCTGCGGCTCTCTGCGCTGACCCGCTTATTAAACAGAACTCACAGCATGGGGTAGAAACATCCAGGCGGCGCTCCGAGCCGCAGCCTCGCTCCCGCTAAGCGCTGAACTGGGATCAGCGGGTTGGCGGGAGAGCGCAGATGAGGAGTGCTCAAGAGCAGCAGGGAGTGAAAGAAGGGAGGCATGCAACCCCTGACCCCAAAAATAGGTACAATGACTGAAGGGTGTATCTCCAGTCATTAAACTTTGCAACATCTTGACAACATGCAGTTAGGGATGTCAAATATAGGAGATAATTAAACTGATTACAGTAGCAGACCCCAGGACACACTGCAGTGCCCGCCCACAGGAAATGAGGTCACACCCCCAGGGTGTGGTTTGTCGAGATGTCACCTGGCTACTGATTAGGCCAAGCCGCAGGCAGGATTCCACAGTGGTTGGTCTTATCTCCCTGATCTCAGGTCAGTGGGACCTGTAGTAATCGTTGAACCCATAGAGGTGTGGATTTAAGACTACCTTTAACGGCTTTCACATCAAACAACACAAAACACAATTTAAAATGCCTGGGTCACCTTTATCAGCAGGGACAGACAATATTGCCTGTGTAGTGCCATTCACAGTGCTCCAGACATGGCTGCGTTCAATTTTATTCTCTCTTGTGTGGTGTGCACATTTGCGTTTGAAGAACACAACCTCATTTTCAAGAC